CAACTCCTCTTACACAGGATGGCAGATTTTGCTTAAACTTCCAAGGATGAACAACCTTTATGTGTAGATGGTTGTAAAGGAAGGAATTTTTGCTGCAACCAAATTTAACAGAATTATGGCCCTTTGTTGATTTTTTCATTATATACTATGTAGAAATTTTGTGAATGCAACTCCTCTTAAACCGGATGGCAGATTTTGCTTAAACTTCCAGGGATTAACAACCTTAATATGTAGATGGTAGTAAAGGTAGGAATTTTTGCTGCGACCAAATTTAACAGAATTATGGCCCTTTGTTGATTTTTAGTTTTCAACTTGTGGCACATGTAGTCCAAAAAATATTTGACCTAGAGTCATAAGATTGACAGAACAGTGGCGTGTTGGGGCATCAGTGTCCTATGGACACATTTCTAGTTTTTTATGAAATTGCATCTTTAATTCAAGAGTTATCTCCTTTTTAAGAATTTTGCTTTTAAAAATGTTATATTTTGGTTACAGGGATGTTTCAAATATTAACTTTAGAGTGTCCTTCAGTCCGTCTGTCTCTGTCTGTTCATAAAAACTGTTTCCTGTGATCACTTTTAAAGAACTTTTCCAACAAATATACTTAAAATATAGAAAAATTGAAACATTAGTGAATGGCTAATGGCCCTTCAGAACCGGTAGGGGACTTATGGATTGCTTGCAATACTATGATAATTGCTTGTTCTATATAAATATTCATGGACTTGAACATGGTTGTTCTATATGAAGATTTATGGACTCTAAACATGGTTGTTCTATATAAAGATTTATGGACTTTAAAGAGTCATAGACTCTAGACATGGTTGTTCTATATAAAGATTCATGGACTGTAAACAATGTTGCTCTATATACATATGGACTGTAAACAAGTTTGTACTATATACATATGGACTTTAAACTTGGTTGTTCTATATAAAGACGCATGGACTCTAAATTTAGTTGTTTTATATAAAGAGTCATGGACTCTAAATATTGTTGGTCTGTATAAAGATTTATAGACTCTAAATATTGTTGTTTTGTATAAAGATACAATCATGGACTCTAATTATTGTTGTTCTGTATAAAGTTTCATGGACTATCCTATTTAAAGATTCATGCATGGAGTCTTTATTCCATGGACTTATAACATGGTTGTTTTTTATAATAATTGATAAGTTCTGAACATGGTTGTTTAATATAAAGGTCCATTGCGCTAAACATGGTTGTCCTTTATAGAGATTCATGGACTTTAAACATGGTTGTTATATACAGATTTGTGGACTCATGGTTTTGCCATTATTATGCTTGTTTAATCACAATATATATGTGTTAAATGGAGAAACTTTGACCACAATGCTACTTATTCCAATACATGCATCAATAAATTGGGATAAGTAAATAAAATTTATGATGTTTCATTATAGACTGTGTGTAAAATTTAACATAGTAAATAAAAGTCTGTTATCGGGAATGTCGGTCAAATATTTTGCCACTTAAGGTATACCTTGTAAGCTTGTATATAACACTGAAAACAAACATTGATAAAAAATTAAAGTAAAAAATCAGTGAAATACGATACTTAAATATTGTCTTTCTTTTCTTTTTGGCAGACCTACTATAATGTTTCATACAAATATACTGACAGTAAATTACGAAATATCGCAAACAATTTGCACATTTCAAAGGGTGACACAGCTGTATAGTAGATTCAAGTGTTGATTATGTAATGCATGAATAAGTTAATATGCACATTCTGTCAAATCAAATTACAAATCAAAGAAAATCAATTACTCGTTAGCTTGTTCATTGTCCTATCAGAATACATACCTGTCAATTTGAAATTTTTTTTTTAGTTTTGTTTTGGGTACTGACTTTGGTTAAGAGAGTCATTTCAACAAGGTGAAATTGGTGTGAAAGTATATTTTTTTGCAATTTATTTGTCTACTTTCTAATATTAATTGTAGTAATATTACTGCCTTTACAAAAATTATTTAACATGGAAATAACTGAATGGATGCATTCTAACATATACGATGATTTGTTCAATTATTCACAATTTTTTTTTCAATTTATGAGCCTCTATGTACTTCCACATTTACCCCATCCATGCTTTGGTCTTAAATTTGGGGCTTGGCCATTTAGGGAGTCTAGGAAATACAACTATTAAACTAAGGACTGGTTATTTAGGTGGTAAACTCAAAACTGACTACCCATAATGTACATTGTAAGAGCCCCTTGCATTTATGGGTTGAGGCATCAGAATTGCAGCCACGGTTAAACCCTGCGTGATCGTAAGAGGCGATTAAATGGGTTCAAATTATTGGAGTCTTTGCATCTCTTAGCTCCAGCAGGTGAGTTGCCGTTTTGACCATTGGTGTTGCTTACTTTAAGTTTGAAACACCTGAGTTTAGCCAAAATCATCTCTACGTTTTCGGCACCATATGACCTAAACTGTGTTAACCAAACAAAACAAGAATCAAGCTAAAATAAAATATGTTTTTACAATTGAAGTAAAGTCAATCATCTGCTTTTTCAACCTTTACCCTGACAAATATCTTAAATGGACCTGTCAGTCTTTCAGTCTGAAAAAAAAACAACAAAAAAACTTTTATCTTTATAAGGAAAATTTCAAAATAAGTAAAGACAATTTTTAGTTCTTTTCCTTGGGGTCAGTCACAAACTTACATTTATTAATGTTTTTGAAATAAATAGATATATTCATTGTCAAACAGATCTAAGATTGGTTGTAATAATTTATGCATGTTCAAAAGAGAGACACAATACAAAACATGTTGTGGGGGAATAATTGTTTAGGCCTATTTAAACAGATTTTATGTTGAAGCATGCAGAACAAATATTTAACAGGCAGTAAAAAACTGAATGATTAGGGCAAGTTATTGGCTTAATGGCCTCTGATTGCCCTATGTTTTGTATTTATCAACAGAATATATTAACAGTGTAATTGATATAGGGTCAAAAAAGTTTGGACCAAAGACCTAGTTTCATGTTGTAATTTTCAATGCTAAGTTAGTATGACACCGTGAATTGTATTAAAGGCACAGTGGGTATGACAATGTGACTTTTATTAAAGGCACAGTTTGTTTTAAATTTTATCAGGATAACATGACAAAAATAATCGTATGCAGGGCAAAAACAGTATGGGAAGAAGAAGATTTAATTCTAGAAGATTTTAAGATATAAAATATCGTTAGTCACAAAAGAACATGTCACTTATCAGAGTTTATTCACATTTTTTAGCAATTTAATTTAGTAAATGCTTACCGTACTAATGAACACTAATCAATTTAGTGTTTGAAATTATTTTTATAAACAGTAGTTTTACTAGACTGATTTATAGTTAATTGATTTACTAACAGAACATTGGTGGTTTAACTCTTGTGCTCATTTGTGAAATTATGCATAGAGGGGCACCCAATGTCTTCCTCCACCAGTAAAGTTGGAAAGTCTTCATATGACCTATACTGTGTTGGTGCAACATAAAACCCAATCAAAAATAAGAAAATATTTTTAACTAAGATGTAGAAAGTAAACTCTGGCATGAGACTTTAATGGATGAGTTTGAGTAAAAAGTGTGACATCATACTTTAAGATGTCACAGTAACCAGGTTATTTAAAAGTCGTCTGTAATAGTTACATATATTAACAATAGGAATGTCTAGAGGTTTATTTGTTTATTGCACTAAATGGAAGTAATTTCATTTGATTTTATTGCTGTAGGGTCACAGTAAAGAGATTTATAATATAAAGTTTTTTTTTGTTTTCTTGTGCAAACCACACAAAAGTAATTTTGAACTTATGTATTAACCTTTTACCCAGCTGAAGGCGAAAATGATTAGTCTTTGCCACCAGTATAGAGCCAGGCAAGCTCAGTCTGACCTGAGGCTTTTTACTGTTGGCTGGCCAACTTCGAAATCACACCTTGATGTCCCCTAAAATTGATAATGGACTGTCCCAAAATGGAAATTGGAAAAGTCCATTTAAGAAATTGGGGTTTAGGGGGTAAAGAAGATTTATGTAAGACACAGTATTAATTGTTTATCAGAGTAAACCATCTATATACAATTGACAGTATCTATTTCAGCTATTTATTTACTGTAATAAAGTTGAACAATTGAGAGTACTTAACTTAAATTGTAACTAAAATTAAAAAACATATATAGAAGTATATGAAGCAGAATATTACAAATTGTAGACAAGACACATATAAAATGAAAGTGTCTGACACTTGTACATGTGATAAATTAACCAATTTACATCTGCCACCATTATTCATGTATATTTGTGAACTGTAAAATACATCATTCTGCCATTTTTTCCACCACCATTTTTCCACCTATCCTCTCCGCCACTTGAGAAAAAAACAACATGTATTACAAGTTTAATTCATGATTGTTTATTCTGATATGATAGTTTTTCCAGAACTTCCTCCCCTGGAACTATGTTAATGGGAAGCCAGACTCTTCCACACTTAACATATATCCTAAATCTTCAACCACCTGTGTTTAACATTTCCTACATGTATCATTCTGGTATTGAAGTAGGATAATTCTATAAAGATTATGCTAAATTGCAGATTTTTTTTATTTGGATTTTTTTCCCCCTCCATTCATTATATAGGTTAATGAGTCTGGGAAATTTTATATGCCTCAAAAATTTTGTAGTTTTTGCCATTTTCTTCCCGCCAGAATTTTAGCTCGGTAGAACATTACATATAGAGACCTGAAGAACATGAACTAATAGTCTAGAACACAAAAACTTTGTGTAAGACTTAAATGACCTTCACGTTATTTTATGTTCTGTTGATATGATGTACATGTATGATAATGTTTCTATGAACAGGGCTCCCCCTTGTGACTGAGGGTTGAGGTAGTAGAATTGTAGCAACCGTTTATCCCTGCGTGATCGTGATCGAAGAATTTCAACAGTTTATTTTTTTTAGTAAATGTAGCTTGTAACAGTTCTATGTTATATATTTTCAGACTGGACCAGTAACTATAATGGATACCCAGAATTTACCGCCACCAGTCTGGGACCCTGGTGTGAGCTCCACTACTTCCTGTCTACATTCAAGGGATGTAACTCTAGAGCTCCCATTGACACCCCCACCACCTTCAGCTGGCATGACAGAGAAACTGATCAGCTCTACTCTACATCAATACAAACAACGAAAATTAAGTGCAGACGCAAGTAATGGCTCCATGCTTTTGAAGCCCCCTGAGAGTGTTAGGCGGAAAAGTGCTGACAGCGGAATTAATAGTAAATATGTTGATCTGGATTTATATAAAAAATCAAGCTCTGAAAATTTAGATTTGATACAAGAGGATAAAATAAGTAAAAAAGATACGGTTGAATTAAAAACAGAAATGTGCAGACAGAATTGTTCACCATTTAAAGAACTTGAAACTCAAGACAATGTCAAAAGCTTGAATTGTAGTGAATATCAAGAAATTTTACCAAGAAATGAGACAGAGAATGATGTTCCGGATGTAGAATTAGCTAAAATGTTGGATTTAATAGAATCTTATCAGACCAGTGGTGAAAATAATATTGAAAAAAGGAGTAAAAGTTCTGTTTCACAGAACAAGGAAAATTTGTGCCATAAACAAAAGGTAATGAAAACTGAAAAAGCAAGTAAATCTGAGTCACTGGACAGACGGAAAAGTGAAAATGATAAAGACAAATCTTTACATGATGACAAAGATGATTCTAGTGCAATATATGCAACAGTTGACAAGTTTAGGCCCAGAAAGCCTACTCCTGAAAAAATAGTTCCTGAAAGAAGTTCTCAAACCCCTCCACCTATCCCTCCAAAACCTAAGTTCTTATCTGAAGCATTTAATGGTAAAAAATCAGAAACTGATATAGACAGTGCTAATTCCACTGATTTACAAGTAATGTTCAATTCGCTTAGTCCTGTTCTACTGCGTAGGAATAATTCAAGTAGATCCCACAGAAAACATGGCAGTTCCGCTGAAAGTAGTCCAGAGAGTACCCCAGATGTTTCTCCAAGAGGAGTTGAAAATCCTAAGAATGATTTTCATAAACATCAAGGAGGTCACACTGGTTCTAACGGTCCTGCTTCATCTCTATTCATGGACCCAGAAATGGCAAAAACCTGGCATGGAGCAACAAGTACGGATTGGTCACAGTATTATGGCCCGCAAATGAGAGCTATGATGAAAGAATTAAATAAATTAAACAATGTTGAAATGACATCGAGCAAAAACAGTGTTAATAAGTCGGCTGAGTCACTAGATGAAAGCAAGTGTAAAACGTTACCATCTAAGTCACTTCTAGATGAAATGCATAAAAAGTTCTGTGCTGATCAATATATTAATGAAAAAGACATAGAAATGACTAGGGCCTTGGTTTTATTTCGTTTAAAATCCCAACAACCACCAGCTAAAGCTAGACGTAGTCAGAGCTTTAATATTCGTATGGGTATGGGTGCTTCTTACAATAGGCTCGGCTTAAATGGTTCAAGTTCTTCTGCAAGTACTGACTCTTCACCCAGGTTTCCAAGGTCGTCTGAACGTTTAAGAATCAAGACCAGACCCGATGTACAGTATTCTCCAAAACCTTCGAGAGCAAGGGGAGTAACTCCTGAACCACTGAAGATTGAGGATCTCAACACCCAGGTAAGTTAGCAAGAGTTGTCTTTCTTTGAACAGGCAGACTTTTTTTTTTTACCCAATACAGGTATGGGTCTCTTTTTTGGGAAAAAGTGACTTAAAGTTATTGGAATATATCAAAGTAAGAAAAGTTATTAATACATAAAAAACTTTTTTCTCTTAAACAGAAGTGACATCATTAATAAGGTTTGTGGAAATCCATCATTGACTATAATTGAGACAACCACAAATGCCAGTCTGTTTTACCACCGCAATTCATTATATTAAATGTTTACTGTGTGCTAACAAAGCTGTTAAAACAACAGCTTGCATGTCCTTTATTTCTGATTATTAAGAATATAAGATAAATATAATTGTTAAAAGACAATTTGACAACAGCTTAAGGAAGAGGAATCAACTTAAGACAAAAAAAAATATTTAAGACCATATCAGGGCCCTAATAACCTTAATAGGGACTGGGGCTGAGGCCCTTAGGTAGGTGAATTTTTGTAAGATTTTTAGAAAAAAGGAGGAATTTTGTCTGTCAAAAAAATTTACTACAGGCATTAAAGCATTGAAATAGAATATTTTTCTTCATGTGATATTCAAGAGAGTGCTAATATAAAATAATTGCAGTTTATTATATACTTATAAATGAAATATTTAGAAATATTGATGAAATAAAATGCATATTTTCATTTTTGGTATTTTCACTGTAAAAATTTATTTTTCACTGCAGTGAAACATATTTTCCATATTTTCATTGGTGTCTTGAGAGACTTCTTTCTTCTTAATTAAGCCAGAACGAAGAAGTCTTAAGAAATGTAAGGTCAAAAAAGAGAAAAAGGATAAAATAAACAGAAAATTCAAGTTTTTTTCTATAAATAAAGGATTTATTTTTATCTTGTGATAATTATGAAAACTATCGTATTTCAATTGTGGCTCCTGCCACTCGTGAAATATTTATTTTCATGCCACTCAATGAAAATAAGTTCTGTATTTACAGAAAAAACTTGAATTCCCTCTCTATAATTCTGTCTTCACCTAGTTCTCATTGTTTATAGTTTGTTGTTAAAGGTGATAGGCTAATTATGGTATTGAACTTTGAAACACTAACTGACATTAATGTCACATGACCTAGCGAGCAGTAACCACCCAAGAGTACAGATATATAGTATAGATTCCTACTGAACTTGACGACACCTAAATAACGCGGGATGCACTTAAATTCACTACGTCATTTTCTATATAGATAACCCTGTGTTTCTATAAACACCCATGTTCGTTATTAGATTTTCTAAGACCATTTAAGGAAAAATCAAACAATCTTTCATATTAAAGTATTAAGAAACGACCCCCTCTGGTTATCTAAAAAATTTGATTTCACGTCTTTCGATAAATTTACGGATAAAAACAATAAGATTCATGTCATATATAGGGGATAAACAAAGAATGTGATTTTAATATTCGTACCACATAAAAAAAAGTAATGTTCATCTGAGATATAACTTATTAAAGAAATGGGGACATAATGTTGTCCTAGTTTTTCATATCTTATCGTTAAAGCTGTATATCGACTTTTCCGATATTTGATGTTAAGAATAATTATGGTATTTTCAAATTTTTTATTACACCTCGGGACTTGATAAACTTTCTGTTTTGTGAATTTTTAGATTATAATATTGTTAAGGGATCAATTTAAACGTGTTTCGCATTCTTTCCTTTTTAACTAAAATACTATGTCCTAGAATATCTTACAATATGTGGAAGGATTTTAGGAAAAGAACCTTGATAGGTTGTAATGTTCTTGTAGATATGACATCAGTAATCCAAAAATTATGACGATATGATCTGTTTAGTCATCAAAATTTATTAAAGGCACTTTATGTCTCAGTATATTTTTACTTCTTTACAAAGATAACCCTTAGTTTTAAAAACGTTTAACTTATGTTTTTAGAGCATGTTAGATGCTTATTACATGAACATCGTCACGCAAAATGTGGAAAATATTTGCCATTAAAATAGGAAAATGTTAACAAAGAAGTCTTTTGACTTCGATACAAAATACTAAATCACTATAACTGAACCAATTGCCAAAAAGCAGCAGAGGAAAAAGATGATTCAGGTAATTGGCAAATCAATTATTTTTTAGAAACTATAACAGGACTCCAAAAATAAAAAGGCTTTTTAGATATAGATATGGGTGGGGCATAATGGGCCTTTAAACATAAGGCTTGAGTTACATAATTTAAAATAACATATGATTAAGGCCTTAAAATCAGACCATTTTCAAGGCAGTTATTGCAAATGACCACTGTTAAGGCCTTAGAATCACCCTATATATCAGCTGATATAGGAGGCAAATTAATGGGCTGTTATTATGTAATTTTTTTTATTAAAATACACAATCATGTACTCAATAAATACATGAAGAAATGTGTGGCTAAGGATATTAAAATTAGGAGTAACAGTAATGTCTTTGTCCCTGGTTGATTGTGAAATAAGGGGATCAGCTTGCTTGAAAGAACATGATTATCTTTAGCAATCTGAGTTTACAGTTAAATACCTGATTGCAGATGAATAGGAAAATCACTTATAACAGATCTTTTTACACAGAAAAGAGACAAAAAAACTACAGTTACACTGGTGGAGGGGGGGGGGGGGGGGGGGGTTACTAACTATGCAGTGATTGGACCATATATGGCCTGATTTTTTTGTTGGTTAATTAAAAATTTAGTGCATGCATGCGATGCAGGCACGTGTAAGGAAAGTGTGGTTCATATATTGCATCAGATATTCTTACTTGTGCTTTATTTGGAATTACATGCGGTGGTAAACGTTTTCGACATTGAGTTTTTTGTACCATAGATAACATGACGTGAAATTCGTCAATTTCTTTTTTTAATCTTAAAGCTTTCATTTAGTTTCGATATTGATTCGGTCAATTATTATTGTTTTGAAAGTTGTTTGACCTAATTTTTTTCGATTGAAATTTTTCGATTGATTTGGCTTTGGCTATATCTATATAAGATGATAGTGGCCATTTTCGTAGATAACTTTGTGAGCTACTTCTCGGTTAATCCAAGTTCTATTTTGCTTACATTAAAGGACAGAATGACTAATAACGAATACTTTCGTATCTATGTACCTGGAGTGAAACCTGCCTGTTTCAAATACTGTTTGATATCTATATAAGTTCAAAGGGAAGGATGATATAACTTCAAACAGATTTTATGCAAATATAACAGTTTGTTTTCAAACAAATTATAGCTATATCTTTTCAAATTCGGAAATTATCTTAACGTATTTTAGATTGTTGTGTCTTTTATACGGATATTGCACTTTTACATGCGGATCTAATTTGGTATCATGTTTTTCTTAATGAATATTTTTGGAAACTGTAATATTTTTGTCTTGCTGTATATAATTATGTATTAATAAGTTTATTCGGCTCTATACATAGTGTTTTGTTCTTAAGGCAATTTTTATAAAAATAGAAAAATGACAAGATAAAAATATAACATTTAACAATGTTTGAAGTTGTCAAAAACATGTAGAAAGATTTAATTAGAAATAAAAGACATGTTTTATTTCCTGTTATGTTAATATTACCTGTATTAACAAGATATCGAGCTTGTTTGACAAGCTATACGGACATAAATGTCACATCATTTTAACACGATTTTGACATGGCTTGTCGAAAAATGATGAAATTGTTTCAACTTTTTAAGGCAGTTTTTTTTTTATTTTTAGCAATTTTTTGTTTTTTACAGCAATTTGATAATATTATTTTTATAGTTACTTGACAGTTAATGTAACAAGATATTGACACTATATTGTGTATATGATTTTGACAACCAGTAAATAAAGCTGATACTAGGATAATAAAATAAATTTAAAAAAAAAAATGAGGAGCAAAGACAGTGTTCAGATATGGATGTGAAAAAAACTAATTGCAGAACAATATTAATAATATAATTATTTTATCAACGATGGATAGTTTATGTTACTTACTGAAAACGAAACCGTTCACAGCATTGTTAAATGTTGCAGTGCCAGAAGCTAGGAAGAAAAACTGCATGGTAAGCTAAGATTGAAAACAATTTAATATTTTCTACAAGTTGTTAAATGTTTAAAAAAGGTTTAAATACCTCAATTTCAAAGCATGTGAATTTTATCGTTATCAAGAACGACACCGACATGTTATCATGATACGCTAATAATTGGAACTTGTTTTTTGAGGTAATCACTGTGTTAAAAGACCACTTGTAAAGATAAAATGCATGCCTTTACAGACCTTATTAATTATTACATAATCGTCTCACAGTTGGTCCTTGTAGACAGTTTCTTGGCAGTATTTAATTGATGTGGGCTTTGTTTACATGTGATATTTTTAAATTGACTTTTTCGAAGAAAAGGGATAGCTAACTGCACTTCCTTTAAATTTTTGTACGCAAGTTGGTATCTCCAAAACTACTGATTGAAGGGAATGGGTCGAAACTTTAAAGAAGTTATTTGAGAGCATAATAGGAGGTCCCTTTTTTAAGCGCGTAACTTTAAAATGGATTTTGACAGAATAAAGGCTCTTTTTGAGCTTATAATATACAAAATGCTTTTCACTGAGAATATTCAAGCATGCTGTTCTATTGTTCTTGTTTTCACAGATACTTTATATGATAAATACATGTTTAAAGCCAGGTGGATGCTGTATGCAGGTTGTCTTTTGGCATATGTTTTACTGTAATAGAAATTTTATTGATAGACACTCTTGCAGCATATATTAATTACCATTCATATTTTTTTCAAATTAAAGGGAGGTAAATGAGAAATGAATTTTTCATTTGAACTGAATTCTTATTATCCTTCTTGCAAAAAGAATATGAAATAATTTGAGATGCATAATATTGATTAGTTTTATTTGCCATGACTTCCAACCTTATAATTATATCTCTAAAAAAATCATCAGGGTTTGGCCTCCAATGTTAAAATTCTTTACTTAGAGACATGCTGAACTTAATTCACCATGACTTCACAAGATTAAATTACAGAAATTTTAAATGGCCACATTTGTGTAAACCTATCTGAGCAAAATATTTTAATTTAATTATCTAGCTTAGTAATCAATTAGAAGGTTAATTGAGCGCAGTGGTAATAAATGGTCGAATTATGTCTAAATGAATGGGTTCAACTACAGATATATTTTGGGGGGTCTTGTGACCTTTGTCTTAAGCAATTATCTGAGTTGTTTTTGTCTTCACTGCTTGTCAATGTCTTTTATTTATTTGGTGTCATGTATAACAGTGGACAGATATCAATTTCATTGTTTTTGCATGGAAATTTCTTCAACACTTTTAAGACTATGCCATCAGTGTAGAGTCTGTCCGGTCTTAACTAATATGCCACTCGGCGGGTATAGAGTCTGGATAAAAAAGGCCTAATATACCACTGGTATAGAAAAGTCCGGTCAATGTTCACATAAAAACAGTTTACCTCATATGCCACTGGAAAAAAATCTTGTCAATTTTCATGTAAAAAGACCTGGTATACCATCTGAATAGAGTCTGGTCAATTTTAACATAAAAACAGACCTGATATGTCACTTGTTTAGAGTTCAGCCAGTCATGACAATAATAACAGACCTTATACATGTACCGGTATGCCACCTTCACATTCATGCAGTCCCATCCAGACTCTATACTAACTTGGCTGCATTAATCTTAAAATTTCATACTGAAATCCAACAAACATCAAAAAGACTGTTCCAAACTCAAAGCAGGGCATTTTTAACCTGAGCAAAGTTAGCAGGGTAAGTTACCTGTCCAGAAAAAGCCATGTGACAAAAATGTTAAGCCAGTTTAGACGTAAGAAGTGAAAATATTTGTGACTTTATAATTTTGTTTTAAATTTTTCTATTGTACTTTAAGTTTGTTTTTTCCAATTATTTTGTGAAGAAAACATGAGCAAAAATTGTCTTTTTTTGTAATATATAATGGCATATGTTTCCATTGTCACACATGGCAATTTAATTTCTTATATATATATATATATACTGATATAAGCATACAATAGAAAATTAAGAAATGAACTAAATAAAACCTGATGGAGACTATTATATGCAAGGAAAACTTAAATCTTCAAAGGTAGTATAGGATTTTTTATGCAAACAATTGTGTCAATGTTGCAAAAATATTTTAAACAGAAGAAATTTATTAACACAAAGGAAATATTCAGGAAATATTTTGCTATTTTCACTAACTTTGTTGATAACTAAAATTTGAAAAAATCAAAATTCAATATTCATTCATTCTTTTAAGTTTCTTTTTTTCTTTACATGTAAAGCGATCAACATTGAACATCAAAATAAGTAAATCTCCTCCTTCCTGTAATTGGAAAAAAATGTCAATAATCAGAAACTATACAAATATATAATATAAAATTTATTAAAATTTATTGATATACAAAATCTACAATTTTTTTTTGAGTTCTTATATAGATCAACTATGGAACCTAAAATAGAAAAATGTGCAAAAGATGGAGAAACAAATAAATTGAAAAACATGTTTTTTGTGCAATTATATTAACTCTATTTGGTTTATTTTTCACAATATGAATTATTATTGTGAAAAAAGTGTCAATGGTTGATCTGCATCCAGACCTAAATCAACTTGTATATAAATCTCAAAATAACATTTCCAGTCCTGTCATGTTTAAAAGAAGACTAAATAGAGACCCTGTTATGAATGTTTTTTCGGATCTACAGCATTGCAAAAACTTTTAAAATGCTTGGTCATGTTTGTTAGTGGAAGCATTTAGTGGAAGGATACAAAAACTATACAAGTACAAGCTGGAGAGCTTGAGTAAATATACTTGTACAAACAGCACTAATAATGGTAATGGTGGCAGGCATTTCATATCAAACACGTCCTTTTATAATAATCCTTTTCAGATTTTGTTTGGTATGCCGAACATTTTCAAAATTTCAAATACCCAAGTTCTCTCGCTTTCTCACTTGTCATTTTAGACATTTCTACAAGTGGCTTGTTACTAATGTGTTAAGAAGTAACCAAATAGAGGTTATTTTAAATTACAGGGGAAGATTTATTGTAGGAATTTATGGATGTGTGAATAAGGTACCTTTTTAAGTATTAAAGATTTTTTGTGTGAAATTGTCATATCAAAAAACTCTTTTGGGGATGATGAATTATTATGCATTGTAATATTGCAATATCAGGAATGATTCTGAAATCTTCATGTCTTACTGCAAAGTGTTCAATTTACGGATACTATAAACTGTCTTGATCTACAATCAAGGAATTCTGTTATTTGTGTTCCTTTAAAAAAATGAGTACATCAAACATTGTGTTGCAGTTTTAATGATAACAATATAAGCAATGTATTGTATATTTCAGGCACAGAACACACAGAAAGAAGAAGCAGGTAAGTCTTCGGCTTTGTTTCATTCTTTTTGAAACTTTCGATTAACTTTCTACTTCACCTTTCCCTTATACATCAACACATTTGTTCAGTCAGTCAATCAATCAGTCAATCAATCAATCAATCAATCAATCACATTTATTCCTTAGTTAACATCCATTTATCTATTGACTGATTCATTCAATTGTTCATTTGTTTGCTTGTTCATTCATTCATTCATTCATTCATCCATCCATTCATCTGTCCATAAATCCACTTGCCATCCATCCATCAATCCATCCATCGGTCCATCCATCCATCCATCCATCTATCCATCTATTCATCAATCCATCCAAATTGATACTTTTTAATCTGCTTCTATGATAATTGAAAATGCACTTTCATTAATCTTTTGTTAATTTTGTGACTTCATTAAGTCATTTAACATTGATCAATTTCCCTTCACCATTGGTATCAGCATTGGTATGGCTAGGGTTTTATATCCTTGGTCCTTTGTCTGTTTGGGCTGCTTTTGTTTGATCATTTGACAGACCCTACAACAAATCTTAGGTCTTATAAAAGCAAAGTAGCCTCACTGTAAAATTGTAAAGCTCACTGAAGTATTTACACAGAAAAGAACTGAGGTATTTACACAGAATAAAAAGGAACATAAATGTTAAATAAATTATTTTGATTACTCAATGATAAGAATATAAAAATATAAATAATTCTATTGAAAAAAAGGAAGCAATAAGGAAATAAATTGACAAGCTGCAGTGGTCTCTTAAAAATTCAACAAGAAGTATGTACATGACCGTGTATATTGTATATTTCATCAAATATTTTCACTGACTGACTAATAAATTAAACATAAATTTTCAATATTATAGGGGCCTCATATCTAATGGCTAAACTTTCAATTTAAAAATTCCTGTCAGAGTTTGAGCCATCTTACAAATATCAAATGTAAACAAAAACTTGCAGTGTCAGTTATTTCTGTAAATAAAAGCTGGTCAAGAGTTACATACCTTTAATCAATAATGTTTACTTTCTGACCGTTTAGTGGACATTCGTAATATTTGTTTACTTGTACTAAAGTTGTACTTTTGTAGTCATTTCAAAGATCATAGATAATGATATAAGTTGAATATTGGATTTATATATGAATGAAAACATTTTTATATTGCACTAATTTGCTAGGAAAATAAATGTGATTTAAGCAGGTTTATACATTGATTATGGTGCAGTGATAGATTGGCTGTGACATTGAACTTCTTGTGAATATATAGCCAAGTATTTCTTTTTTTTCTCAAAAGAAACATTTTAAAGAAGCCATCTGATAACAAACATTTTTGTTGGATGTAGAAAAAAATTGCAATCATGAATTGAAGTGTGTAACCTTGTCAGGGTGGAGATTTGCAAGTTTTCATTTCAATTTAATTTTGCAATCAAATCTGACAAAAAAAGTCTTTAACAGGCCATTCACTGACAAATATGATGAAAAGTGGAACTAAAATTTGGACAAAGAAAAAAATATTATAGAAAGTGTATTGTAGTTTGAATGATAAGCCATCGGTCTGCTTTGTTCTAATTTGAATGATTTACTGAAAGCATTCTAAGGAAGTTGTGCATAGTTTGTTGAGGTCAGGATGAGTGCCATCAGGAAAGCTTTTCTCCACTTTGGAATTGTCAGAAAAGGTAGGTAAATGTTCATGAATAATATCTTTACAGCAACATTGCTGTATACTTTTTCCTTTAGTTTGTTGTAACATGAACACACAATTGAAGAAATTTGTTTTATTTCAGTAGAGGAAATCTTTAAGTCGTTAAATCAGCCGGAGATGTTGTATGTTATGTTTGTAGCAGTATAACTAACTTATTATAAAATTTGTTTTAATTACATAGTAAATCTGTATGACATGTTTACTGTGTGTCTGCTGGCATATTATTGAAATGAATGCAGGAGTCTATTACTGTCTTATCATTGTATCATAGTATAAACATCTCTAAAATCTGGTGGTAGAAATGTTGTGCCTTTACCAATAGTATTGAGTCAGGAATGTTGTCCCAAATGTCCATGTTGTTCCACATGTCCATGTTGTCCCGAATGTCCATGTTGTTCCGAATGTCCATGTTGTTCCAAATGTCCATGTTGTCCTGAATGTCCATGTTGTCCCGAATGTCGATGTTGTTCCAAATGTCCATGTTGTCTTGAATGTCCATGTTGTTCCAAATGTCCATGTTGTCCCGAATGTTCTTGTTGTCCCGAATGTCCATGTTGTCCTGAATGTCCCTGTTGTCCTGAATGTCGCTGTTGTCCTGAATGTCCATGTTGTCCCGAATGTCCATGTTGTTCCAAATATCTATGTTTTCCCAAATGTCTATGTTGTTCCAAATGTCCATGTTGTCACGAATGTCAATGTTGCCCGAATGTCCATGTTGTTCCAAATGTCCATGTTGTCCTGAATGTACATGTTGTCCCGAATGTCCATGTTGTTCCTATTGTCCATGTTGTTCCAAATGTCCATGTTGTCCCAAATGTCCATGTTGTCCCGAATGTCCACGTTGTTCCAAATGTCCATGTTGTCCTGAATGTTCATGTTGTCCCAAATGTCCATGTTGTCCCAAATGTTCATGTTTTCTGAAATGTGGCCAGGTTGGACCAAAAGTCCATGTCCCAAATGTTCATGTCCCAAATGTCCAAGTCCCAAATATCCATTTTGTCCCAAATGTCCAGGTTTGCTGAAATGTCCATGTCCCAATTGTTCATGTAACGTCCCAAAGATCCATATTGTCCCAAATGTCCTTGTTGCCCCAAATAACCATGTCCCATAGTCCATGTTGTCCAAAATATCCATGTTGTCCCAAATGTCCATGTTGTCCATTTTTCATATTTCACTATTGTTTGTTAATTAATTTCTTAAGCTAAAAAGTTGCAAGTTGAACATGGAAAAGAAATTTTTAGAAGAAGTTTTAATACTAGATTCTGAAGTCCTTATTAATTGGGTGTGATAAATAAAACTTCTCTAACACTTTCTTCATTATTTCAATTTAAGTGTTGTTTATTTTTAAATTCAAAGTGCATTTATAGTTTGATACTGCAAAGGTCCCGCCCAATCCATCTTAAAGGCTTGCGTACATCTTATTATATGTATTTCTATATTTTATGGGCCTCACCTGTTTACATAGCCCCATACAGGTGCTAATTATGATGTCTTTTTATTTGTAAAATTTACAAAAACTGTTTCTTATCATAATGTAACGAACTTTATTATTGCCTCATTTATAAAAAAAAAGAGAAAAAAAAAGATAAATCAACAAGAATGATTTCTCAAGCAAAGTTTGTTGGGATTTTTTTTTTTGCTAGGTAAAATAAATCAAGGTTTTGTATTTTGGTTTGATTTAATGGGCAAGGTGGGTTTAGGTTTGGGTTATCTTAGAGCATTGAACCTTCGGTGTACCAGGCAGTGCCGAATCATGCCTTTTATTATTTGGTCATAATTGTTACTTGATATCATAAATTGTTGAAATTGGTTTTTGACAAGATAGTGCAAGGTGGTTTAAAGAAATTGTATTTAAGTAAATAATACCTGTGACTTTTTTTTTTCATTATTTTATTTTTCTTCACCCCCACAACATGCAGTATCAATTTTGAAATTTGATCGCACATTATAAATTAAATAAAAAATAGGATAAATTTATAATTGTAAGATTGTAGACTGTAGGGCAAAGGTAAGATATATTTACATGAAACATTTTTTTATAAATGTATATATTTTTGTGAACAGTGCTTTAGAAAATCCAGCGATTGCTGCATGTCTTTCACAAAAAGGATGTTTATAAAAGATGCAAAACAGCTTGAATCAAGTGCAAGAACAAACACAAGCATCTCTGATACTGTTTCTATGAGGTACACTTCGTCTTGTTCACAGACAGACTTTTAAGGACTCTGAAACACTGTCATATCCCAAAGGAAGATTAATGTAAAAGTTAAGTATACAATAATGTGACTTGATGAAGAATGACAGCAAGGTTTGCATGATGCCTTTTTAATGTGTAATACTGAAAACCTCTTACTAGGATAAGTTAGGAATAATTTGTTCTTCAAACTTTCAACACACAAGTTCTCATAATGTCTATACATTTTTCGTATTTATTTAATGTTTTTTGTATGTTTGGTATATAGGTACCTTGCATGACCTTGACCCTTACATTAGGATTAAGGTAAATAAGGTCAAGGTCACTGAAGAAAAAAATAGTGTTTTCCCTTAAAGAGCCTTCATTTAATCTCTCGTATTAAACTATATTTTAATCTTTTGGTGGGGTTAAAAATTTTAAAGGTCAAGGTCACTGAAGAAAAAAAAAGTTGTTTCCCCATTTAATGACTTTCATCTACTTTAACTCTTGGTGGGGTTTGAAGTTCTAAAGGTCAAGGTCACTGGTGATGAAAATTGATTGTCTACATCTCACTGCCCTGATAGTTTGGACTGTGTCAAAGTGGCATAAATGAGGATTCATTGAGGTCACCAATATATATTCATAATTTTTAAAGAAGATATTATAAAAATTCTTGTAAGTATTTATTGATATAATGACCTTTATTTCACCTTGGATCAAGTTAGAATTTACCTTATATTTATCTCTCATTGTTTACTAGGCATTGTTTTACAGAGATTAGAGGGTATAGCATGTTTTCATATGTCAAGTGTGTGTTTATTCCAGGGCCTATAAAAACTGTATATTTAGATTTATAGACATTGACCAGTTGCTTCAAAGTTTCACATGTTTCTCAGGTGGTAGTTTAGATTATCTATTGGCTACAGTGTTTACTGGTCTTTGACCTCAGTTCTCAAGGTTTTCCAGTTTCCTCTTTTTTTTCTGTCTACCTTTTTGGACTTATCTTACCATATCAATGTGTGTGTACCTTATCATTCTTTTTTGTCAGAAAAAAATGCTTGATTCTTTTTTTCTTATTTTTTCTCCAAGAAATGATGGGATTAATCGGCTTGAGATTAGTTTATTAT